AAGCAGTAATTTCCAATAGGCAAAAAAAGCCCCTATTAATATTGGCAATTTTCTCAGTCATGTTCAAGGAAAAATGCAAAGTTTCTAAAAGTAATAATCAAAATGAACACATGTGTGACTAATATTTAAGAGCATCTACTCTATGGCTTGAGACCTATGCTCAACTCCAGAGGTACAAGTAAGCACTGTTATTCACAATTTCTATTGAAGAAATGTATCCAGGATCTCAGTGGCTGTCAGAGACGGACCCTACTTTGCCTCTATGTATTTAGGTTTTCATGGTACCATGATACAAGTTATAGTCAAAGCTATTGGTCCCCTTTAAATTTAAAAATCTGTCACAATAAAAGACAAACTGTGATCAAAATACAATTTTTTGCTTTGGAATAAATTTAGCCTATTAGTCTTGCCAATTTCTGAAGCTTTTTTTTTTTTTTTTTTTTTTTTTCTGGTGAGTTTCTTTAGGGGTGCTGTCACGATGTCCTAAAGCTTTCCAAAATATTATTTCATGTTTTTTGTCTTTGGGGAAGAACTAGATTTTTAATGGGTTAGATGCAGTGAGCAAAAGGATGGAGACCTAGCAATCCTGTTTAACAGACTGCCTGTTTGCTGGATGGCACTCAGCAAGAACGGTCACGAGATTTATGATCATGCTTGCTAAGGATGCTCATCAGAGGACTACCACAGCTGCTTCAGAAAGTTGCAAGAGCAATAATAGGTAGATAAGTTCTTATCCATTGCTAGGACTTTGAGAAAAATTAAAGGCAGTATCTTCTAATGTAGTAATTGTTTTTTAGTTACATTCACCTAATTTTTCTCTCATGCATTCAAAATCTTAATACTAGATGAATTAAGAGAGCTCTATTACCAAATTGCTTCTTTGTGCCAAAATAAATGTACTTAAGGTACATGCATGAAACAAGTAGTTCAGAAGGACTCAGGACTCTTTTTGGTGGTGTATTCTCTCATGCTATGCCTTTCTATCTTTCAGAACTAAAAGCTAATTGCTGAAACAGAAATGTGGCAACCTGAAAACTACAGTGTCACTTTGCTCTATAAACTCTTTTGTCTGTACAAAATTTTCTTTATAAACAGAAGTAAAAAGTTTTGGCAAAATTTTGTTTCTGTTTGCAAACTCTGTATTGGATGACAAAGACAACTGAGGCCATCTTTTCTGCACAAACTAAAATATGGTCATCTTTTCCAAAATTGTAGAACTCATTAAATTCATGAACCCAACTTACACTGCAAGAGCATAAAATAACTACGCTAAATAAGATTAGCTTGGTACTTGTGAATATATGCTAAAAATCACCTTTTGTTTTTTATTTGTTAATATCAGATATTTCTGTGGGAAAACTAGGGAAAATTTTGAAACAAAATATTAACTGTAAGTTCTATATTTAATAAAATTTATCTTTTTTCCATTTGTATCATACATTTCATAAATATTTAATTTACTTTGCAATAGACATATATCATTTTGTCATAGTAAGTAATGAAAAAGCTTCTCTGTTGGATATTTAACTTTAATCCCCAAAACTTTGTGTACATTATCTGTTCTTATCTCTACTTGGCAAATGATAAATGAAAGACTCAGAAAATTTGAATTTTTATCCCTAATTCAAAAAACTATTAGATGGTAGAATAGAATTTTAATTCAGATTAATAACTTAGATACTTTCTTGTTTCTTCACTAACCTAAGAAGGGCCCACAATCTTTTATCAAATATCTTTCATGTTTCAAGTTCAAGGTAGGCTGATTGTATAAGTAGGCAGCTATAGATGTAACTGGCAGACATGTATTTGGTACATCTCAAATTTTGTTAATATATTTTATGTAAAGTAAAAATACTTTACATATATTAACTTTAATCCCGTCTATGAAGTATCTATTCTTGCAAATGGTAAAATAAATGTTCATAAAATATAAGTGATTACACAATTATTCCAAGTACTTAGATATTTTATGGCATGACTTATATAGTCTGCTAGCACAAGAAGGTAGAATACACTGCCACCCCACCCCGTGCCTTTTTTTGAGAATCTAGCATCATTCTTTATCAGACCCAATATGAGAGCTATTGACTTCAAGCAGTAGCATTCAGATCACATATAAAAGTAAGAAGTTGACATACATTTTGAGGCTCAAGATCATAGAATATTCCAAAATATTTTCTACTTCTCCGAACAGGAGCTTCACCTGTGACAAGGCCACACATTGTCACCTTAGAGCTCATCTCCAAAGCTTCCACATCGACGCAAGCCCAGTCCTCTAGCACTGAAAGAATTAATGTAATGTTGTGGATCTTAGCTGTATTGTATGTCACCTCTTCCAAGTCTGTTTTCAGACCAAATACATGTCACTTACTCTTTACTTTTCATGAGGGCTCTTGAGGGTATGTAATGTATCAAGTAGACTTTAATAATTTTAAAATAGATCCACTATGTGGTTAAAGTACATTGTGTATCCAAGCACATGAATTTCAAAGTCATTTTCCATGAGCTCTTCATGTTATTTATCCCTTCACTATGAAATGAAGAAAAGTTATCTTTGTATAGTGATATACTGGTTCCTGAAATCTTACTTTAATCATTTCCATATTCTAAAGTTGCAAAAAGTGTATGCATTTTATGTATATAATCACTTTAATTGTCGAACTGGGCAAAAAAAAAAAAAAAAGAAAATTAGAAAATTAGCTCTTAAGTGTAAATTGTCAGAGAGATAGAAAACACAATTTGGAATTCAAATAAAAGTTAAACCGGACAGCTCAGCCTTTGTGCATGGACTTGGTGGTTTCAGGACAGTGTATTGAGACTTTACACGTGTGTTTTAGAAGGCACAAAACAGAGAAGCATGAGGAAAGCCATTAGTAGTAGAGCAATAGATTATTTTAAATAGATGATTTTTTAAAATAGATTATTTCAATGCAATATTCATCTTGGTCCATTTGTTATAGGAAAATGGCTGAATTGGGTAATATGTAATGAAAAGAAGTTTAGCTCAGAGTTTAGAGGTTCAAGAACATGGTACCAGCTTCATTTAAGCTTAATTGGGGATCTTTTGGGAGGTTGGCTTCACAGTGGCAGGATTATGTGAAAGAGAGGGGAACAGTCCATGTGCACGAAGGATTTAGGGAAGGTGTGAAGCTCCCATATAACAAGATATTTGTGCTGAAACAAATCGACTATACATGATCTGAATTAATCTCTTTCTATAATGAGACCCGACGATCATTAGGTCATTACTTTTCACGTCTCATCTCTTAAATCTCAACACTGTCACAGTGGGGTCTGAGATCCTAGAAAATCAAATTTTTAGAGACATATTCACACCCAGATGATAGCAATGTGGTAAAGCCAATTGGAAAGCAATTTGAAAAACAATATATTTTGTTATGGAAACATGAAAATTTTAATCTAACACATTATTTCACTCCCAGGAAAAAACAATTGTACAAGAAGAAAGCAGGGCGATATTTGTGCTAACTATTGAGATATTAAACAAAAAATAAACAACGCCACAAAATAAATGATAAAGACTTCTTGGAAGAGGACTGGGATTGTGATTCAGGTAAGGAGAACTCCATGAGTTGAACCCTTAGTCCAAAACAATAGAATAAAAGTTTCTAGAAACAAATACGCACAGCAAACTGGAAAAATAATTGCAAGCAGTATCACAAAAAAAGCTACAGTTTTTTTTTTTGTTTGTTTGTTTGTTTTTTTATTACATAACAACACTTCAGCAAGAAAAACACGGATCTGTAAAGAATACAGATGAAGTATAGAAGGAGGCAGTTTCTGGAAATGAAAAGTTCAAGAGTTGTTTAAATTATGTAAAGATTCTTAAATGTTTCTAATAAAATCTTCTTTTTTCTTTCCTATTTAACCTTTATTTATAGGGTCACAACACATTTCATTCGTTGACTTGTCTTCCCTCTATTCTGCTTTGTTCAGGTAACTCTGGCTAAGCCTGTATATCCTCAAACTACCTTTCATTTTCTTTTTATTTTTAAAGAAGCAAAACAAAAAAGTATATAAATAATACACCATGTTAAATAAAACAGTAACAAATCAACACTTGTTGATACATTGCATGTTGTTATCTTAGAAGTAGTTGTTCCGGTTACAAAAAAAGAACAATCCGGTTATGAAAAATGAACAATCAAATAATGACAGCACAAACTGTTCTTTGGATGAACTAACAGGGAATTAATAGTATAGTTATCCCTCTTGCACACATATGCATACATACAGTTACATGTGTCTACCTCCACACATATAATCTTTTCTGTCTTCCATTTCTCCTTTCCCCCATCCCAGCTGCTCTGTCCTCTTGAGCACTTCTTTCCCTTTCATTATTGCAATATCTGTTGTACATTTTGGATCTTATTACTCTTTCAGTATTTTATTATTATTATTATTTATTTTTATACTAAGGAGATAATAGAATATTTACAAATATGTGTCTGATTTAATTTCACTTATGCCTCCATTTACCTAGAAAAGCCTCGATTATACTTTTTATAGCTAAGTAATCTTTAATTGTATAAAATCCCACATCTTTTTTATCCATTCTGTGACTGATGGGCATTTGGGTTGTGTCCAAGATTTAGCTACTACAAATTGAGCTGCTATAAACGTGGTGCACAAGTGAGGGACTGAGATGCCTCCCGCCTGGCTTTTGTTGCACAGGACTCTTTTGTTTGCAAATGAATTTTAGAAATGCTTTCTCTAGATCTTTAAAGTATGTCACTGCTATTTTCACAGGGATTGCATTAAATCTGTATTACAGTTCTAGGAGTGTGACCATTTTCATAATGTTGCTTCTTCCTACCCAAGAACAAAGGATATCTTTCCATTTTGTGACATCCTCTGCAATCTCCTTTTTCAGAGTACTATAATTTTCAATGTATAGATATTTTTATCATTTGTTAGATTAATTCCTAAGTATTTAAATTTTTTTTTGGATGCGATTGTGGAAGGTGTTCTTTCTGTTGGGAGCCGTGGCACTGTCAAGTCATCAGACGCGGTGATTGCGAGGCCTGTGGGAAAGTACAAAAGCCTGGGCTAGATTACCCCTCTCATCGAGCCCGCCTGTGTGGCACCTGTTTCTTATCACCCCACTAAGTTCCCGCCTCACAGGGTAGTCTGCCTAGCTATTAATCCTATATATAGCCAGTGCCTCCACCCCCGAGAGAGAGAGAGACTGAAGCACAAAAGGAGCCGCGGGGAGCGGACCGGTAGAGGCTTCGGGGCAGACTGAAGCACGGAAGGAGCCGCGGAGAGCGGACCGGTAGAGGCTTCGGGGCAGACTGTATAAGGAGAGAATAAAGAAAAGCCTGACCACCGCCAGACCTTGTCGTGTGTCTTTCCTGCCGGCCGGGAGCGGACATCGACATTTGGAGGCCCGCACGGGGATTGATCAACCCCGAGACGCGGCGGTGGACTGCATTCTCCTACACAGTGCTGCAGCTGCAGGACAGGTGAGTAGAGGATAAGCCTGGGCCCTGGGTGGCGCGCACCTACAGGGTTTGTAGACTCCTCTCAACCTCACGCGTAAGTGGCGGGTTTCTTGGGCCTCACGCGGTGAGTATGAAACATAACACCAGAACTTAAGGTAATAAAAGAGTGTAAAACATAAACATAGAAGTAAAAATAACAGAAGATATATTAAAAATGAGAAACATGCCAAGTAAAGATACACAGCCTTGGTGTTGGTCCTTCGGAGACTCCTAAAGTCCAAGGACCTCAAGGTGGGGCGTAAGACTTTAGAAAATTTCCTTGCAGAGATTGACAGCTTTGCTCCCTGGTTTCTGCCTACAGGGCATGTAAACCTGCCCTCCTGGGAAAAGTTGGGCAGAGACCTTTCCCTAGCAGAGCGGGAGGGTAGAGCTTCAGTCTCTGCTCGTCCATTGTGGGAAATGATACACACGTGCCTAAAGAGTGAGGGTAGTTACGGGGGGAGCTCTCAAGAACTTGTAGAAGTACTCGAGGTGTTTGAACAGGCACAGTGAGGAAGCTCCCGAGAAGGGTCCGTCAAGGAGGGCAGAGATACAAAAGAGGAAGCCGAGGCGCGGTTTGTGTCTTTCCGCAGGAATCGGGACGAGAGCCAATGTGGGTCCCAGAGAGGTTGACGCGACAAGTCCCTCGACTGAAGATCAGGCCTGTTCCACCAGAGGCCAACCGCAGACCCAACAACAAGATGAGCCCTAAAAGAACTGCAGGACAATCCCTTTTTGGGGGCCTGGAACGGCTTGCTCCCCTATGTGCTACCCTTGTATATGCATGGCTCGCTCGCATGGCCTACGACCGCGTTTAAAAGTGACAGGCTTCCCACATTCTCCTCCCTAGACAACAACATGTAGCAGGGTGGGTGAGTCAATGACGGGTAAGAGCGTGCCTCCCCAGCACGACTCAACCTAAGCCAGGCCCTACCCCGTTCCGCTCGAAAGCCGCTGGATTGTTAGATAAATTTCTCTCCGAGGGGATTCGTGGAGAGAAATGAGTGCATGCCTATGTGCAACCAGGTTCCGTCCGGTTCATTCCTGGCCCTAGAAAAAAGGACGAGGGCCTCAGGGCCTTGGTGGACCCTGGGACGGCCGACCAGGGTCTACGCTAAGGGCCTACGGTGGGCCTCAGTTCGGGGCATAGGCCTCTGCACTCTATCCAGGACGGGCTGCGATGCGCGTAGCCATCATTTAAAATAAAATAGGGGGAGATGTTGGGAGCCGTGGCACTGTCAAGTCATCAGACGCGGTGATTGCGAGGCCTGTGGGAAAGTACAAAAGCCTGGGCTAGATTACCCCTCTCATCGAGCCCGCCTGTGTGGCACCTGTTTCTTATCACCCCACTAAGTTCCCGCCTCACAGGGTAGTCTGCCTAGCTATTAATCCTATATATAGCCAGTGCCTCCACCCCCGAGAGAGAGAGAGACTGAAGCACAAAAGGAGCCGCGGGGAGCGGACCGGTAGAGGCTTCGGGGCAGACTGAAGCACGGAAGGAGCCGCGGAGAGCGGACCGGTAGAGGCTTCGGGGCAGACTGTATAAGGAGAGAATAAAGAAAAGCCTGACCACCGCCAGACCTTGTCGTGTGTCTTTCCTGCCGGCCGGGAGCGGACATCGACATCTTTCCATAACGTCTCTCTCAGTGAGTTTGTTGTTTGTGTACTGGAATTCTATTGATTTTTGAGTGCTGACTTTGTATCCAGCTATGCTGCTGAATTTGCTTATTAACTTTAGCAGTCTTTTGATGAAGTTTTTGGGATCTTCTATGTAGAGTATCATGTCATCTGCAAATAGTTATGATTTAACTTCTTCCTTTCCTATCCTTATTCCTTTTATTTCTCTCTCTTGTCTGATTGCTCTGGCTAATATTTCCAGAAACATACTGAATAGGAGTGGTGATAGTGGACATCCTTGTCTTGTTCCTGATTTTAGAATGAAAGCTTTCAGTTCTTGCCCATTTAGTATAATGTTGGTGTTTAGCTTTTATCAGACTGAGGTAGATACTATCTATTCCAATTTTCTGTAGAACTTTATCAAGAACAAGAGTTGGACTTTATCAGAGGCTTTTTATTTCTGCAACTATTGAGATGATCATGTGAGTTTTGTCTTTGGCTTTGTTAATATATAAAGTCTTTTTGTACCTTTCCAAACAAGAGAAGCACTGTGACAGTATACTGTTTTTTTTTTTTTTTTTCTTTTCTTTTCTTTTTTCTTTTTTTATGATGTGTTGTTATATGGAGGAGGGCACAGATAGGGAAGTTAAGGAAATGAATCCTTGTGCATTACCTATATTAGTATAAATCAGCTTGACCACTGCGAGAACTATCTAGCAATATTTGCCTGGTAGATATTATAATGTGGTACTCATAACTTTTACAAAAATGGCAAATTTTAGTATTAAGAGTAAGTGCTAGGTGAGTTACTAATACAGATGTGTTACCATAGGGACTCTTTGACTATATATACTCAGAAATAAAACAACCAAAACTGTAATGAGCAATGAACAGAAGCATGTATTTGTGATCTCAACTACTCTGGAGGTTAACAAGAGACTTGCTTTAGCACAAGTATTCGAAATCAGCCTGTACAATATAACAAATGCCCCCCCCCAAAAAAAAGAAAATGAAAAACCAAGTTAAAAATATGCCCTTAGTCTTATATTTTTTGTTTATTTACAACCTAAAAATTAGAGAATTCTTAACAATGCTATTGTGACATATTGAAGTATATGAAATTCTTTGATGTATAATACTCTCAATATTTACAGTGTTTCTTTCATTTTTGTCATTCATTGATTCATTCATTCATGAGTATTTCCAACATGAATACCTAATATTCATCACTTGTCACAAAAAAAAAATTTGTGTAATACCTCCACAATTAAAAGATCGAGAGATAATCTTAAAAATTTCTTCTAGTTTTAATAATTTGTGGTTGTACTACCCTCCCAAAGCTTTCATTGTGGGATATTACACAGTAGCAAAGTGGTAGAGTCTTCTGTTATCATCACCTTTGAGCTATTACTGGAATTCACTGGGCAGAAGCCAGTGATGATGTTTTGTGCCATCTGTGGGGTAAACACTCACCAGTAATGATTTCTTCCCTTCAAAATATTACTAGTGCTCATGGGAAGCCATTTCTATAGACTGACAGGTTCAGACTGAAGATGAAAAATCTGGCAAATAGAAATGTTAAATGTTTTTTCCAAGGTCACAGAATGAGTCAACTACATTCGAGTCTAGAATACAGAACTCTGCATAGTTCAGAAAGCCTCCTACCCGCATTTAAATAATTGCCTCCATTAATTATTCTGTGTCCTTCCCTTCTCCCCTTTCTCTTCCCTGACTACATTTCTGCCTTTCTGTTTTCCTTGTTTTTTTTTTAATTTTTTCTTTATAAAAATTTTCTTTATCTTTTTGTCTTGCTCTCCTGAATTTCAAATCTATACACACAAAGACAAATATTTCCTCAGTCAGTGAAGATAAGAAACCTTTTTATTTTCTAAAAGTGAAAGAAACAACAAGATGCCAATTAGCATCAACACGTAGATCACGGGTTTGCATGGCATTCAATTGCAACTCTAGTAGATAAAGTGGAGAAAATGAAAGTCTACTGCTGACTCTGAGAATCTGTGGCAGCCCTGCACTTCTCCTTTCCAACATTCTTCTTTCTGTTGGTGTGGGTTTCGGCCTCTCTTCCCTGCCAAGTTCTGTTGCTTATTCCCCAAAAGGCATGACACGACATCTGTGGTGGCTTCCACTGAGATTTATCTAGCCAGATTTTCATTAAAATAGCAACTGAATTGACTCAATAAAATGTTGCTTATCTTAATAAAGCTCTGTAGAGCTTCACAAATTTGCATTTAATACTCTTCAGTGCCATCACAGCATTAATAATCTGTGCCTAAAGAGCAATAAAACTTTATAATTCCTATTTAATGGAGATGGCTTCATAACCTTCCATTCCCATGCAACTTGAGCTATAAAGGAGAGGGCAGAAAAAAACAGAATATTCATAGGTAAAAGATGATCAAATCTTAATGTCAGTGCTTTCTTAGGCTTCACAAATCTGCTATTTCTCCTAAAATATTAGCCTATCCATACTCTTTGATTTGGGAAAAATTCAGATGCATGGTCTACAGTAAAAGATCCTTAAGGAAAAAACAAACAAACAAACAAACAAACAAAAAAAAAACACTTTTGATTTCCTTAGCGTTATCCAAAGACAGAAGTCCAATGACTTCAGTTACAGATTGAACTTTCATTTGTATTTCTGGAAACAACACAGTTTCCATTCTACAAAATAGAATGTTAGCTCCCATTTAGCATTCATAGTATTATAAAGTGAGAAGGAATAACAGCACTATAGAAAAAAAATTTATTGGTTAAAATAAAAATTACTTTGGGATTTTCTTTTCTAAAATTTAAAGCAGACAGACCACCTTTTTTATTGTCATTGGAAAACTGAATTCTCATAATTTCAGGAAAACTGATCCATTTTGTGATGTATCAATTTCCTTTAAGTTTCAGTTTGGTTGTACGACATTAAGGGTGAAAGACACCATCTTTGTTTGGTATTTATGTTTGTGACTAGTGCTTTAGCTCAGTCCAAACAATGACCTCATTGCTAATAAAAATTAACTAGAAAGATAACTAAAGATGGAGGCATAAGAACGAGAAGATTCCCACAGCTGCTTGCAGGTAAGTGTTTCAAATTAGTGCTTAAATCATTGAAAGTCATAAGGAAATATCATGACTAACTTCATATGGCTGGACTCCATCTCTTTTTTAAATTTCTCCTAGTAGATATATTTGAATTTGGAGTTCAAGTGAAAATAAAGGATATTAAACAAAGGAACACTCAGTGAAGGAGGGTCATAGAGTAGATATCATTTATGAAATCTTTTGAAGATGTTTTATAATATAGCCAAAAATACATATTTCAAGAAATACTTTGAATTTCCTAGGTTAGTGAATACATGCAGTGGGAGTCTCAGTCACGTTTTTTTAGAATTTATGATCCACTTGGATGAAAGTTAAAGTGTGTACTGTAAAGAGATATAAGCAGAATAAGCTCCAAAAAACAGCAGACATCCAAACCTCTGCCTTTTTCACTGGTGCATATGCTGCATGCTTGTGCTTTTAAATTTCCCCTCAGCTGCACTTTAAACAGGCAGCGTGTACAATTTCCTACAAGATAGAGGCAGATTTTTCTAATTCAAACATGCCTTCTGGAAATACAGACAATTCTTTCTGATTGTATTTCTTATACTCACAGAATACCATCTCCCACAAATCAGCCAAAAATATCTGTCACTAAAACAGTTTTTTGAGCTTTGGTGTAAGAATAACTTCAAAAAGCACATCATCTCAAATGAAGAGCTCGTTAGAATCACATTGATCTTGTATTAGGTGGTAAGTGTCATAAGTAGATAACACTGGAAATATTTATATTTTAGTGTGGGATTTGGCTTCTCCTTTATTGCTCTTTGAATAGAGACTAGTTGATCAGCTGACTGATTTTGATGTTAACATCAGCTGAGTCATATTTATCTACCTAAAGTTTATTTCCGTACAATGACTTCAAATGTGTCACTTTATCTGTGTCACAGATGTGGAAGTATCGGTGTCAATTGGATTTTTGTTTATGCAAGATCAATGCACACATGCAAACAAACAAAAATAAAATATTATATTTTATAATTATTTAATGCAATTCAGGATATAATTACTAAAACCAGTTTTTGAATCAGATTTGAATAATGGATTGTATTATAGACTTTTATGAATTATTTTTCTTTACTGATAACCAAGAAATTTTATCATGATACTTTGCACTTGCCAGCATTTATTATGCATGTTGTGGTACTCAGCCACAGTGTTTTGTGATGAATTAGTTAGTGAAATACCTTGAGAAGTAATGCAGTTTTTGCTTCTATTTTTTATCTTCTATTTAATTTATCAGGACTGTCTATACAACAGGAACTCGATAATGAATATTTTCATAATGCATAAATACATGAAGGGTGTTGTCTTAGCTCATAAGAATGGTCATGTAGACAGATTAGAACTATGTTCTAACAAAAGCTAGTGGAGCATCCATGCACACAAAACCATCACAGACCGGCATTTATTTTCATTCATTTCTCCTCAAAAGATAGTCATGAAGACCATTGTTTTGCATTTAAAATTTGGGATTCATTTTTTTCTTCAACTAAATCTGATCAGTGAAAATTCATTTTGGTTCATTTTTCCTATTATTTTGAATAGTCATGAAGCACAGAACTCACTTCTGCTCCACTGGTCTGGGATCCTCATCACATCTGCCGCATCTCCACAATTATTACCTATAAAGACGTCACATTTTGGCTTTGGCCTTGACTTCTCCACCACAGAGCTCACAGATGCTCTGAGTAGCAGCAGAGCTAGGACAGTAATAAGTTCTAATGCTGTTTTACTCTTAACATGGACCTTCTGCTGTGTTTAAACCTCCCTTTGTCTGTCGCCAAGTTCTTTCCCAGGTGAAATTACTTGGCTGTGACCCGACACTCTGCCCACCACTTGGCACTATTTCC